AACCACCCCAATCCCACTCATATACATGTCCAACCCATGTTTGAAACAATCAACGGACCACACTTCCACCACGTTACATGGTAATTGGTTCCACAAATCAACAACCCTGTTACCGAAACAGTATTTACCCAGGTCTTTCCTATCTTGTCCAATTTATACCCATTGTTTCATGTTCTGTTTTGTGTTGATACTTTCAACACAATACCAATATCCCCCTTGTTAAGAGCATAAGAATAAAGGTAAATGAACAAATCCACAAGGGCCGTGATGAGGGTTCGAACTTACGTCCGAGAGGATCCCAGATGCGCCTTAATCAACTGTGCAACAACATGGTAAAAGAATTGCAACCGGGAGTTCAACTGACCTCACACGGATCCTGCAGTCTCTCTGAGACACAAACCAGGGTATTACACAATTCCCCCCATGTACCAGAGCTTTGTCAATAAGCTATTCTACCTCTTCGCCCTTACTTTTTCTGTGTGTAATCCCCAGATGAGGAATGCGTAAACTGAAACATAAGCAGAGAACACGTCCCACAAGACTCCAGGTCAGTGTCAGCGACCCAACAGGCAGTATGGGGGAGGCAGAAAGGGCGATTGTTGCCCCTGCCTCGGGAAGACGAACAACTGTCAACATTGCACAAGGCGAGAGTGGACTTGGACGGATCCATGTTACCAACTGAGCCCAAGAGGGTTTACTAGGGTCCACAGGGTATGTCAACCCTGCAGGAAGCCCAGGAACTGTGGCCCACTGAGCTGATAGACCCCTCTGTTTGAAAGCAAACAAACCGACTACCAGGAGCAGTGGTGAGGTTATCTTGAAATGATTTTGGGGCTTAGTGTCCCCATGGCCCGGTCCTCCACTAGACCTCCTTTTTGTTAAACACCCTCAGGAAGCAGCCCGTAGCAGCTGTCTAACTCCCCGGTACCTATTTACTGCTAGGTAACAGAAGCATCAGGGTGAAAGAAACTGCCCATTTGTTTCCGCCTCCACCGGGGATTGAACCCGGAATCTCAGGACTACGAATCCAAAGTGCTGTCCACTCAACTACGAGGCCCCTCGAGGCCCTCTCAGCCCCTGTGAAACCTCGGGGCGACGAAGGACAGCCAAACACAACTTAGGAAGGCCTAATAAGCTGCTAAGCAGACCTTCATGAAAACCGGGCAAACTGCCCTAATGAACAAGTGACAACCCCCGAAACACTCCAAGCAAACTGGTAGTCGGAGAGAAACTTCAATCGTCGCATAGGTGTAAGCAGACTGTGCAAGCCACAACGCACCCCCCAGCCAATAACACACCCCCTAGACAGAAAGCCCAAGACCCCCAACATACCCCAAGGGTGAAGACAACGTCAAACGACGAAGCCCTCAAATGAGGAGCAATTCCAAAAGTCCAGGGAAGGCAACCCTGGTATACAAGGGCAGTACTTAGGGAGCATCCTGGGGAGGTTACCCAGGGCGCATGCAGTTACAAGCACAATGAACACCTGGCCAACACATCACACACACAGCTGGCACTGCCACACAGGGCTAAGTCCAGACAGGAAAGCTTAGAGGCAACATCTGACCACCAAGCACATCAGACGAGAACTGAAAGGGATAGTAGGTGGGCTCGACTGAGGCGGCTCCTCCTCCCTCCCTTGGTCGGGGAGAGGAGAAGATTCCGCTAATGAGCGGGAATACTGGTTAGAGTGGAGTTGCTAGTTTCTCTTCATTTATTTTCTTAGAAGTTTCTTAGCTGCATCGGACTGTAGGTTGCAATTTTACCAGCTAATTGTTTGTTTTGGTTCGCCAATCTTTCTGGGTAAATGCCCGTCGATGGCAGAATACGACATACTTTAATTTAAATGTAAAGTGCTCATAAGCCATTGCTTCCTGCCCCTCTCTCTCTCAAGGGGACCAGATTCTGGCTCGTGGTCCCCGGTAGGCCTAAGAACTCCAAGTGACTGATGACCCCAAACTAATAAAGCACATATCAGTTCAGTTAGCTTCAGGGAGCCTCTGGGGCAACCCCTAGAAAAGGTGACACTTGGATGACAGGCAAGACTATTACAATATGGAGTCAGTAGTTGTAGCAATAGTACAGTAGTTTATTTACATTAATAACAGAATGGAAATACAGGGTGTAGCAACCCTGTATTTACAACTGAAAATACAAGGTTGGAAAAGCAACTGGACTCTTTCTCATGACATTTTGTTTGGAACATAACTGAACATAAGAGTAATATATTAATATAAGGTCAATGAGGCCAACACTTAAAATGAACCAGGAACATAAAGCACATGAGTAAACATACAGTATTAACAAAGAAATTAAACAACAATAAATGCAGAAAGTATATAATACAGTACTCAGTAAATAACAATTTAAGAAAAGAGCAACACAAAAATAACTCCCTATATGGGAAAATGTGAGTGAAACTAGTTACAAGAAATTGATTATAGGATAATAATTACATGATATCAAGTAAATATTTCTTGGTCTCTCCTTAGTCTCTCACAGTGTATTAATAAACTAGTTGAGAGACATACAACTTTTAATAAAATTTGGGAGGTCATTCCACAATTTGGAACCCCTTGATTTGCATTGCATTTTTGCTTTGGTTGAATCTCACTCTAAGAATATCGAAGATATATTTGTTTCTCGTGTGGTGACTGAGAGTTCTATTACAGCCTTGTAAGGAAGCACTTAAGGTCAGGATTGGAATTGCAATTCAGTTTTATAGATACTGTATAGAGAACACTTGAGAGAATTGTATGTGCAAAGACTTGCTATTTATTTAATATGTTCAAGGATTTCAGTAAGGGAGAGTGATGTCTGGGACTGGAATTTGTGATTGTTATAATTGCTGATTTTTGTTGAGTAATCTAGGGTAGTGGATCTCCAGGCACAGATACCATAGGTGAGATGTGGATGAATGAGTGAATAATACTGGTTAGGGTAATGAATATAGTATCTGATTTTTTTTCAAGAATTTTTAACTCATTTTTGTCAAGACCTGCATGTATTAGGTTAAGCATATTTATAAGAGCATCACTGGAGCTTTTATGAGGCCTGAAGCCATATTGGTTAGAACTATTGGAACCAGTCTCCGTGGTGTATTGGTAAGACCCCAGTCTCCGTGGTGTAATGGTAAGACACTTGCCTGGCGTTCCGCGAGCGCTTTGTCATGGGTTCGTATCCTGGCCGGGGAGGATTTACTGGGCGCAAATCCTTAACTGTAGCCTCTGTTTAACTCAACAGTAAAATGTGTACTTGGGTGTAAAAACGATTCTTTGCGGCGGGGATCGTATTCCAGGGACTTGCCCGAAACGCTACACGTACTAGTGGCTGTACAAGAATGTAACAACTCTTGTATATATCTCAAAAAAAAAAAAAAAAACTAAGAATATTGTGCATATTGAGAAAGGAAGAGCTGTTTGTATACAAGTGTTTCAAAGATTTTGGACAAGGTTGAAAGGATTGATATTGGTCTAAAATTGTTGATTTCATTGAGATCACTAAATAAAATTTAGTAGTTCCAGTCCATAATACTCTTATGGACTGGAATGACTTTTAGCCATTTTAAGAGCATCTGGGAAGGCTCGGAGCTCCAGTGATTTATTGTAGAGCAATACTATAACAGGAGCTAAAGACCTTGAGGCCTTTGAATAGATTAGGGTTGGTATCTCAGAAGGGTTACAAGATTTAGTTTTAAGCAAGAGGAAAATGTCAATAATATCTGAGGATATTATTCTCAGATAAGCGACTTGAGAATGGTCCAGGACGGACCGAAACGTCGTCGTCCCTTCACTTTCTAGTGTGTGGTTTGGTCAACATATTTCAGCAGCATTGTGACTCCTCGTCTACATCTGAATATCTGAGGAGTCGAAGCAAATGCATCGTTCGCAGCATTGACTGAAACTCGCACAAAAGGACTATTATGACAATGAGATATGGCTACCAGAATACACTCTTTTCAGATGTGACAGGAAACACAGGCTACAGGGTGGGGTCAGCCTGTACATCAAAGACACATTCATCGGCATGGAGCTGCTGAACGCCACAAACAACATGGTGGAAAGGCTCATACTCAAAATAGACATTCTAAATGTGGTGATTGTCCTTGTATATAAATAAATCACAAGATGGAAATCCTCAGCAATTTAAAGACCAACTTATAAAAATAGAACACGGCTTGGAGAACCTTACAAACCCTTCCCCAAACATCATCCTGCTTGGCGATTTGAACTTAGGCGACTTAAAACAGAAAAACTAGGTTAGGGTAAGACTCGAGAGTCTCGAGTCTCTAGGCTACCTTGAGGTGCTTCCGGGGCTTAGTGTCCCCGCGGCCCGGTCGTCGACCAGGCCTCCAAAGTGAGGAGTGAGGCTAAGTCTAAGTGATAGGCTAAGTCCCTAGCCTATTATGAGAGGCTAGGGTGAGACTAGGACAAGAGGCTAGGGTGGTAGATTATGACGAGAGGCTAGGGTGGTAGTCTAGGACGAGAGGCTAGGGTAAGAGACCAGGGTGAGAGGCTAGGACAAAAGGCTAGAGTGAGAGATTACGATGAGACCAGGGTGAGAGGCGAGGATGAGAGACAAGGACAAAGCTAGGGTAAGAGGCTAGGGTAAGTGGCTAGGGTAAGAGACAAGAATGAGAGACTAGGGTGAGTGAGCAGGGTGAAAGACTAAGGTGAGAGAGCAGGGAGAGAGAGAAGGGTGGGAGGCTAGGGTCAGAGAACAGGGTGAGGGACTAGGGTGAGGGGCTAGGGTGTGAGAGAGCAGAGTGAGGGGCTAGGGTGAGAGAGCAAGGTGAGGGGTTAGGGTGAGAGAGCAGGGCGAGGGGCCAGGGTGAGAGAGCAGGGTGAGGGGCTAGGGTGTGAGAAAGCAGGGTGAGGGGCCAGGGTGAGGGGCTAGGGTGTGAGAGGTTAGGGTGAGGGGCTAGGGTGATCTAGGCGAGCAAGCAGTAAACACGAGAGCAGTACAGGTGAGGAGGGAGCCTAGTGACAGCTCCACCTTACCTCCAACAACCACCAGCTTGTACTCCGTCATGGTAACTAGTGGTGGTGGCAGGGAAGGTGTCGAGAAGCAGGGTGTAGTGTGTGGGGGTGTAGTGGTGGGCGCTACATGAGCACCATAATATAATGTTTACGGAGGAGTCGGACACAGCACAGCCTCCCCGCCCTCCTCTCACTCACACTGTTCCAACACTAACCCAACACCCAATATTACAACCCTTTATTACTCTCACTCTACTCTTACGCGCTCATCTAATTATATCTTAAACCTCTTCCACTTGTGTTGGCGATCTTTGGCCCCGAGGGAAGGGAGGAGCTCGCGGGATGGGTATAGGAGGTGGAGTTGTTAGTTTGTGATCATTATAGATGATCTTAAAAGAGTTGTAAAAGCGAGCTGTTCGAGAGGCTGCATCGTCTGCTCTCTTCCACTTGCTTTACCTCACATATACGCTCACTTTCATCTCCCGACACACTCCTCTAATATCTTCACGTGGGAAATAATGCCATACGATTCTTTCCGACATTTACAATTGGGTTAGAGGTAGAGGAGGGGGAGGTGTGGAGGAGACTGGGGGCGGGTTAGGGAACAAGGAGGCAGCCCTGGGCGTGTGGAGGGACTCGTCATCTTCCTCACACCATCTCTCTCTCTCTCTCTCTCTCAACCCTCTTAACCCCTCTCACTCAAACTCTCTCTCAACTCAAGTAGATGCATAATGAAAGGAGCCTCTTGTTAGCCTATAGACGCGGGGATTGTAGCTTCTGTAGTGTGTAGTGGATAATTTAGCGACATATGGCAGTGTGGAAGGTGAGTCATGACAAAGGCATACGGCACGGCCACCGTCCACACGGCTTGACACATCTCCCCATCTTGACTGATTGTGTTGGCAGGGTGTGGAGTTGACGGGGTGATACAGCTTAGCTGGCAGGGTAGCAGACCGAGGGAGTCATACAGCTTAGCTGGAAGGGTGGGGGGTGGGGTGGGGATTACAGGTCTAGCTAGTGGGGGGGGGTTGAGGGAGTGGTACAGATCTATCTGGCAGGGTTAAGGGAGTGGTACAGATCTATCTGGCAGGGTTAAGGGAGTGGTACAGATCTATCTGGCAGGGTTAAGGGAGTGGTACAGATCTATCTGGCAGGGTTAAGGGAGTGGTACAGATCTATCTGGCAGGGTTAAGGGAGTGGTACAGATCTATCTGGCAGGGTTAAGGGAGTGGTACACATCTCTCTGGCAGGGTTGAGGGAGGTTATCTTGAGATGATTTCGGGGCTTAGTGTCCCCGCGGCCCGGTCCTCGACCAGGCCTCCACCCCCAGGAAGCAGTCCGTGACAGTTGACTAACTCCCAGGTACCTATTTACTGCTAGGTAACAGAGGCATCATTGTGAAAGAAACTCTGCCCATTGTTCCTCGCCGGCGTCCAGGATCGAACCCGGGACTACATGATCATGCGTCCAGTGTTCTGTCTGCTCAGCCACCGGCTCCCTACAGATCAATCGGACAGTTGTACCACGGAAGTGGTACAGATCTATCTGGCAGGGTTAATGGAGTGGTACAGATCTATTTGGCAGGGTTGAGGGAGTGCTATCTGGCAGGGTTGAGGGAGTGGTACAGATCTCTCTGGCAGGGTTGAGGGAGTGGTACAGATCTATCTGGCAGGGTTAATGGAGTGGTACAGATCTATTTGGCAGGGTTGAGGGAGTGGTACAGATCTATTTGGCAGGGTTGAGGGAGTGGTACAGATCTATCTGGCAGGGTTGAGGGAGTGGTACAGATCTATCTGGCAGGGTTGAGGGAGTGGTACAGATCTATCTGGCAGGGTTAAGGGAGTGGTACAGATCTATCTGGCAGGGTTAAGGGAGTGGTACAGATCTATCTGGCAGGGTTAATGGAGTGGTACAGATCTATCTGGCAGGGTTAAGGGAGTGGTACAGATCTATCTGGCAGGGTTAAGGGAGTGGTACAGATCTATCTGGCAGGGTTAAGGGAGTGGTACAGATCTATCTGGCAGGGTTAAGGGAGTGGTACAGATCTCTCTGGCAGGGTTAAGGGAGTGGTACAGATCTCTCTGGCAGGGTTAAGGGAGTGGTACAGATCTATCTGGCAGGGTTAAGGGAGTGGTACAGATCTATCTGGCTGAGTTAAATCCTCTTTGACTATTGGAGCCATCTATAGATTTCCCAATACTAACATAGCTTCTTTCTCAGACAACCTAAGGAATCTTATTATAAACAACAATCTCAACAAAAACCACATCATTCTGGGAGGAGACTTTAATATTGACCTGGGTCAACAAAATTGCTCTCAAGTTGACTATTTCATTAACAGCATGAACTCCTGTATGCTAATCCCCACAATCACCAAACCTACCCGAGTCACTCAAACATCAGCCACTACCTTGGACCACATATGGACAAACATAACAGCTCCCCTTGTATCTGGTATAATCTACGACAGAACAACTGACCACTATCCTACCTTTCTCATAGCGAACATGGACATAACACCACCAAAAAGCAAGAAACTTTCATTTAGGCTACACAGTGAATCAGCTTTAGACAATCTTACAGAGGCACTTTACAATATTAACTGGGATTCTGAATTCAATAATACCCATGATATAAATTCATTAGCTAACCTCTTCCTCTCCAAAACTCTAAGCCTCTACAACCTTCATTGTCCCCTTCTTACCAAGCAAGTAACTGACAAAAGATTAAACAATCCATGGCTCACAAGTGGCATTCTCAACTCAATCAACAAGAAACATGAATATGAAAAGAAAGTTAGGATTGGCCTAGTTTCAAAGGAAGTAGCTAAAAGGTACTCATCAATGCTTACCAGTATCATAAGAAAGGCAAAACTTGCATATTATGTGAATAGATTCAATGAAGCAAAAGGCAACATGAAAAGCACTTGGAAAACTATCTCTAGTATCCTAGGAACTAAACAACACACATAACCAAATAAAACTCTACAAGGATGGGGATATACCGTCAACTGATTTAGAAATGGCAAATGAATTTAATAGTTTCTTTTCATCGGTTGGTGCTAATCTTGCCAGTAAAATCCCACAGACTCAGACACATATTAACACATATCTCTCAGGCAGCTATCCAAACTCTCTGCTCCTTTCACCAATCAGCCCGGCAGATGTTGTGTCCATCATACATTCTCTAAAAACCAAGGCAGGGAACACCAGTGAAATTCCGTCCATTGTGTACAAGAGAGCCTCCCATGCCCTTGCCCCACCCATAGCACTACTGTTCAACAAATCTATAGAGTATTACACCTTCCCTGATATCCTCAAAAAAGCAAGAGTAACGCCAGTCCATAAAGGAGGCAATCCGGCGGACATAAACAATTATAGACCAATATCAAATCTACCCATTCTATCAAAAATATTTGAAAAAATTATTTACAAACAGCTCTATTCCTACCTCGTAAAATTCGACATACTCAGCCCCTGCCAGTTTGGCTTCCGGTCCCAAAAGAGCACCAACGATGCAATCATTAGTCTCCTTGACATTATCTACTCAGCCCTTGACAAAAATGAGTTTTCGATTGGACTCTTCATTGACCTAAGAAAAGCCTTTGATACTGTTAATCACAACTACCTCTTACTTAAACTCCAGCATTATGGAATCCGAGGCCTTGCCCTTGATTACATCCGATCCTATCTTAGTGACAGACATCAATATGTAACCATCAATGATACAACTTCTTCCACTCTACCAATTACCGTTGGAGTGCCACAGGGCAGCATCTTAGGACCTCTTCTATTTCTTATATATATAAACGATCTGCCTAATGTCTCTAATATTCTCAAACCTATATTGTTTGCTGACGATACTACCCTTATCTACTCAAACCTCAACCCACATACACTAAATAATGTTGTGAATAATGAATTAAAAAAAGTCCACTTATGGATGTCAACGAACAAACTAACATTAAACATCGAAAAGACTTACTACATCTTATTTCGAAGCAAATCATCAAATGCAATTCAGCTACAGATAGACAACATAAACATCAGTAATAAAAATGATGGCAAGTTTCTTGGCCTATTCCTAGACAAGAGACTCAACTTCAGCACCCACATTCAACACATAACTAAGAAAGTCTCTAAGACAGTTGGTATACTCTCCAAAATCAGATATTATGTTCCTAACTCTGCTCTCCTCTCACTATATTATGCACTAATCTACCCCTATCTTAATTATGGTATCTGTGCATGGGGGTCTACCACTGCAAACCACCTTAAGCCCATCATCACACAGCAAAAATCTGCTATCAGAATAATAACTAACTCTGCTTTCAGACAACACTCAGCTCCCTTGTTTAAATCCCTAAACTTGCTAAATATTAACTCCCTCCACACATTCTCTTGTGTCAACTACATTTACAAAACCCTGTTCTTAAATGCAAACCATGCTCTGAAACTCTCCCTGGACAGATGTAATAGGACCCATTATCACCACACCAGAAATAAATATCTCTTTGATATCCCCAGGGTCAAACTTAATCTGTGTAAACACTCTATGCAAATTAAGGGACCTAGTCTATGGAACTCACTCCCTAGTGAATTGAAAAACTGTAAAACTTTTGCCTTATTTAAAAGCAAAACCAAAAAGTACCTAACTTCATCTTCTTAGTTTCCTACACTGAGCTTTAAATTTGCTCTGTACCTAGTGTTACCCAATCTCCAAATTTTTATGTAATATCAAACAACCTTATCATTGTGTTCATTGCTGTCTTCTTTTATGTGCTAGCCATATGCTGTATTGTGACTACCAATTTTTGTCAACTACCATTCAAGCTGTCATTGCAATCAATCTTATATTGTTTCTGCTGTATTGTGCCTACCAATTTGTTGTCAACTACCATTTTAAGCTGTCATTGCAATCAATCTTAGCTACCTATGTGCTTTAATATACTGTACCTACAATTTTCTCTCAACTTCTTTTTTTTTCATTTCATGTAATCTGTTATCATTTTTTTGTCTATAAATTTTGCAAGTATTTACCTCCTTAAAATTTTTTTAGATTAAGGATCTGCCCGAAACGCTGCGCGTGCTAGTGGCTTTACAAGACTGTAATTACCATATTTGTATCCTCACATTCCTTATGTACATTCTTGTATATGCATAAATAAATAAATAAATAAATAAATAAATAAATAAATAAATAAATAAATAAATAAAT